AATTCCACCTACATGTTCATTTGCATTTGTCTACAAAAGAAATACAGTCATTGCAGTTTTCAATTTACCCTGCAAAGCACTTTAAGAGTCATGTCTATGTGAAAGGCGCTACATCAAATACAAGGATTAATCATTATTAATTGTCATTATTACTCATCAGTAACCAGAAGGCATCAATTTAAGATAGTCAGCAAACAGCAAATGGGGAGATTAGAAGATTATTTTTCCCCACACAGAGTTGTTTGGATATAAAATATCTTTTGGGTTGTGGTGTTTGAGGCAGAATCCATATTATTTTTTCAAAAGGAAACGAGACAGATATCTAAAAGAGGTTTGGCATTGGGGCTTAGAGAAGAGGCAGACAACTGGGACTGAAAGGACTGCTGTTTAAAAAAGTCCGCAGAGACGCGAAGGGCTGAATTGCCTTCTTCTGTGCTGTAAATTTCTATGATTCAATCTGGATGCAATAGCTACGTGAGGACGAGCGTATTTACTTATTCACAACTCATATTTCACTGTCTGAATAAAAAATGTTATTAGGCTTGACCTGGTCACATCCAAGAGGCAATCTTGTTAATCAATCAGTCATTGGGTGTTTTGATCCAACGTGCAAAACTAGGTTCCAGTCATTAAATAAATAATTTACTTGCTTTCATTCCTCAATGTGGATAGTGAGAAGTAGAAGAAAGGAAACATATTGAGTTTCATGTTAAAATGTAAAGGCAAAATGTATTACAAAATAATGGCAGAATAGGTACAAAATAGTAAAAATAAAGTCCAAGAAAAAAAAGTTGACCAATATGGAAGATGGAATAGTAGAGTGATCAAGCATATATATACATTCAATTTTTAAAGTTACATTGAAGTAGCTTCAATTACTACAACATAAAACCTTAGCATCATAAGGCATAACGAAAAGTTGCAAAACTACCTGGCTCAGGAAGACAAGATTTAACTGAATTTGTCAGGAGCAACAGGAGTTTTAGAAAATCGTAGAATCATAGAATTATACAGCACAGAGGAGGCCATTCGGCCCATTGTGTCTGAACACCTCCCTCCAGTCAGAAAAACAACCGTTCCCTACAACAACAACTTGTATATATATATAGCGCACTCCACGCCGGACGGCGTCTCAGAGAGCTTTATAGTAACGGATCCTGGGGCCCAGCCAGGGGGAGGGAGAGGAAGGTGACCAAAGGCGCGGTTGAAAAGAAAGGTCTTCAGCCGAGACCTGAAAATAGGAAGAGAGGGAGCGAGGCGAAGGGAGTGAGGAAGGGAGTTCCAGAGCCTCAGGGCATAGTGACTGAAGGCACGGCCGCTGAGGGTGGAGCGGAGGATTCGGGGGACAAAGAGGAGGCCAGACCCGGTGGAGCAAAGACAACAGGCACTGTTTTGAGGAGAGAGGAAGTCAGAGAGATAGGGGGGTGTAGAGGAGTAAAGAGATTTGAAGACAAGGGTGAGGATCTTGAAGTCGATCCTTTCTGGGACAGGCAGCCAGTGCAGTCTGACGAGGACTGGGGTAATCGGGGAGCGGAGTTTGGTGCGGGTAAGAATGCGGGCGGCAGAGTTCTGGATGACCTGGATTTTATGAATGGTAGTGGATGGCCAGCATGGAAGGCGTTGGGAGTAGTCCAGCCGAGAGGTGACAAAGGCATGGACCAGGGTTTCAGTGGCTTTTGGAGTGAGGTATTGGCGGAGACGATCGATGCATCGGAGGTGGAAGAAAGCGGTGCTAGTGAGGGACCGGATGTGGGGGAGGAAGGATAATTGGGGGTCGAACCAGACGCCTAAGTTGCGTACGGGTTCGGAGAGTTTTAGTAGGAGGTCGGGTAGGTGGAGGAGGTGAGAACCATGTGATTTTAGACGTTGACAAGAGCCAGAGTATGGCTTCCATCTTGTCAACGTTCAGTTGAAGGAAATTCGCACTCATCCAGCTCCTGAGGTCTGACAGGCAGGCTGACAGAACATCAGGGGACTGGGGTCGCAAAGTGAGGTGGAAAAATAGAGTTGGGTGTCGTCAGCATACATGTGGAAGTCTGCAGATGACATCCCCAAGAGGGAGCATATAGATTAGGAAGAGGAGGGGGCAAAGGATGGATCCTTGGGGTACACCGGGGTAACCGGGTGAGAACGGGAGGAGAAGCCGTTTGTGCAGATGTACTGCTGGTGGTTCGTGAGATAGGACTCAAACCAGGCGAGTGCAGTCCCACTGAGGTGGATGACGGAGGAAAGGCAGTGGAGGAGGATGGCATGATCGACTGTGTCGAAAGCAGCGGAGAGGTCCAGGTGGACAAGGAGGCAGAGGGAGCTTTGGTCACAGATAGAGACTCTCTGCTTTCTGTCTCCCAGCCAGTTCTGTATCCATGTTGCCACTGTCTCTTTAATACCATGGGCTTCTATTTTGCTTACAAATCTCTTATGTGGCACTTTATCAAAGCCTGTAGTTCCTGTATGTATCCTTCTGCCCCCTTTTTGTAAAGGGGAGTAACATTTGCAACCCTCCAGTTCTCTGGCACCACCCCAGTGTCCAAGAAGGATTGAAAGATTTTGGCCAGAGCTTCCGTTATTCCACTCTTACTTCCCTCGGTAACCTAGGATGCATCCCATCTGGACTGGGTGATTTATCTCCCTTGAGCACCGATAACCTTTTTAGTACCTCCTCTCGGTTTATTCTTATCTTATCCAATTCCTCTACCCTCTCCTCTGATACTGTGGCATTGGCTGCATCCTCTTCTTTTGTGAAGACAGATGCAAAGTACTCATTCAGTACATCAGCCATGCCCTCTGCCTCCACAAGATTTCCTCTTTGGTACCTTTGGCTAACCTTTTATTCTTTATATGCTTATAAAATACCTTAAGGTTCCCTTTTATGTTACCCGCTGATCTTTTCTCTTTGCCCCTCTTATTTCCTTTTTCAGTTCTCCTCTGTACTTTCTATTTGATTATCTTCTGTATTTTGGACATGACATTTATCATAAGCCTCCTTTTTCTGTTTTATTTTAATCCCAATTTTCTTATTCATCCATGGAGGTTTGGATATCCTATCTTTCCACTTGGTGGGAATGTATTTGTTCTGTCCCTGAACTATCTCCGTGAAGGATTCTCATTGCTCGTTAGCTGTTTAACTGCCAATCTTTCTTTCCAGTCCACCTTGACTAGGTCCCTTTTTAACTCATTGAAATTAGCCCTCTTCCAGTTGAGTATCTTCACCTTTGATTGCTCCTTGTCCCTTTCCATAACGACACTAAACCTAATGATGTTGTAATCACTGTTGTCCAGATGTTCTCCTACTGAAACCTGCTCCACTTGCCCCACTTCATTCCCCAGACCTAGATCCAGCACTGCTTCCTTACTTGTTAGGCTGGAAACATACTGATCCAGAAAGTTATCCTGCACACATTTCCCCCTCCTTTAAACTGTTATATTTTCAATCTCTATTAGGATAATTGAAGTCCACCATTATCACTACTCTATTGGTTTTGCATCTTTCTGAAATCTGCTTGCAAATTTGCTCATCTATCTCCTTCCCACTATTTGGTGGTCTATAGTATACACCTAACAGAGTAACAGCTCCTTTTCTGTTCATTAACTCTAACCAAATAGATTCTGTTTTTGGACCCTCTAGCACATTGTCCCTTTCCAGGGCAGTAACCGAGCCTTTAATCAATTTTGCCAACCCCCACCTCCTTTGTTTCCTTCCCTATCCCTCCTGAACATATTGTAGTCAGGAATATTCAGCTCCCATTCCTGCCCTTGTTTGAGCCAGGTCTCCACTATTGCCACTACATCATAAACCCATGTGGCAAAACTAGGAGCAGAATCAGATTAAATTGATGCAGGATTACTACTGCACATCTAAACAATGGCTGATCGGGTTAGTTAAACATTGGTTTCGGCAATAAATGATCCAAGCTGGGAGAATGGCAGAAATTTTATTAAAAAAAAGTTGATTGACTGATAAATGGGAAACCCATCACCGTGCTAAAGAGTATCCAAACCAGCCTGAGAGTTCCACATATGTCCGCATCTATGCATGGAAATTTTCCTGTATCTAGAATCCATAGGCTGGTAAGAGTGAGGACCCCAGAGTGTGTGTTGGAGTACTATTAGTGTTTAACCACAAACCGCATAGCTTGCCACTGAAAGAACTCACTGGCAAAGCTTCCCGGCTTGTGCAGCAAGGGCCACCTAACCCGTTAGGGCTTGGGCACAAGCTGAAGAGTTGGGAATTACGGACCAGCCTGGCCCAGGAAGTGAACTAGATTTCGACATTTTGTTGCCAAACATGTCACCTTGGAGCCAGTTCTGCTCCCAAAGGTCTGCAAATCATACTTCAGTCCAGCACCTTGTGACATCCTCCCGACGTGAAAGGCGCTATACAAATGTAATTTTGTTGTTGTTGCTGGACTGTGCAGGAGTCAGCAAGCCGTGACTTGCCCTTGAGTTTTACCACTCCTCTTGAGTGACACAGCATCTGACGTTGTACCTTTACACTCAGAAACTCGGTTGGAAAATCACATACATAACCCTTAACCTACTGCTCTGCGGTGCAATAGATTACACTAATGAACTGGGTGGTCAAACAGATTTATGTTTTAATCATAACTATACTTAATCGGCATTTTTCCTGGATTTCGATGTCACGCAATCTACTTTCAGAATGGAGTTCTCATGGGTCTGCAGAATAAGTATAATAATAATAATCCATGGATTTGCTAAAGCACCTTATCACATCGTTGAGAGGATTTTCAGTTGCGAGAAGGAACTTCTAATTGCAACTAATAGTTCTTATTAAGAAATCATATTTAAAATTGCTGCGTTTTTAGAATTCAATAGTCGCACACTTTGGTAGAAAAGGGCCTGCTAAAACGTTTAGATGGATGCTTTGAATCTACCTGGCCTTGACCTGATGTCCATCCACATAAAATTTATAGCATTGACCCCAAAACAAAAATGTTTTCATTAAAGTACAGGTGACAAATTGGAAAAAAAATACCTACGGTAACAAGTCTCCACGCCTCTCCAATGATAGCGTATTGAATTCGATTCAAAGCAAATCCATCAATCTCTCTGATCAGCTTGACAGGCACCTGTCCAACACGTTTCATAAGAGCATAGGTTTTCTCCACAACAGAAGGCTGTGTCTCCGGATGTGGGACCAGTTCAACCAGGGGTACGTAGTATGTTGGATTCACCTGGAAACATAAACAGGGTTATAATAATAATAATAATAATAATCCTTGCATTTGATATAGCGCTTTTCACGTCAGGAGGACGTCCCAAAGCGCTTCACAGAACACACTGTAAAGTGAATTGAATGTATATTTGTGGGCGAACGCGGCAGCCAATTGCGCACAGCAATGTCCCACAAACAGTCGTAGATTGAAAATGACCAATTTAATTATTGTTTTTGGTTTTTTGGAGGGATTATTATTAGGCAGGTGGAGTAAGGAAACTTGCCCAAGGTTTCGCCCTCTGCCTGGAATTAAACTCAGGTCTCTCACTTGCAAAGCGAGTGCTCTAACCACTGAGCTACAGGACTCCATTATTCTTATTGAAGGATTCATTGAGCTTATTGAAGCATTCCTTACTGAAGCATTTTTGTGATATTGAAACATCTTCAACTGATAGGGGAATGATGGGTGGGCATCACAAATTGCTGGCCTTTTGCGTAATCTATGACTGTTTTTAGGACACTGCTGTGTGCAATTGGCTGCTGCATTTCACCCATAACATACACAATCAATCCACTTTACAATATATTCTGTGAACCGCTTTGAGACATCGCAATGATGTGATAAGGCACTATATCAAATGCAAGGATTATTATTATTAGAATACCCAATATACACTAGGCTTAACAAAATCCAATGATCAAGGAAATTTCTATCTCTACATTTAAAAACAAAACCAGACAAAACATGAGATGATTTTAGTCCTGAAACACTTGAAAATAACCTATACTGGTCCAGAAAAAAAACTCTACAGTGTACAAAAAAAGTTATGAAACCAAATGTTTTCAGTAGTTAGATCCAAGAATAGTGTTAGCTGACCTTAGGTATCAAAGAATAGGTGTGGTGGGACTCTCTATCTGTGAGAGGAAGGGGGAAGAAGGTGCAAAAAGTCAAGACTGAAATCCACAACCTGAAGCGGTTTGATGGGGGTATGGATTAAAGCTTTAGTTGGTTGGGTAGTCCACCACTCCTGGAGAAGCTGTGGAAAGACGTTTGAGGATAAGCAGCTTTGAATATGAGCAGCAAGCTACATAATTGTAAGAACAAGTAACTGGAGGGAAATTTTATTTGTATAGAAGAGTTTTGTGAGAGATTCATAGTTTAACAACATAGCGGCCCTCCAAGCTGGACGGAGTCTCAGAGGGCTTGATTCATAGTTTAGCGATTCATAGTTTAACCACACCTAAATGCAGATTTGAAATATCCTAACAGTTTCAGTGCATAAAAAAACAAAAACGCTGCCTCTTTCAAACACTGATCACAGCCTGCCATTTTAAATAATTGGACACAATAAATCCTTTCAGTAATTAACAGGCCTTTAAAAGTGCCGGTGGCTATCATTAGGAATTACAGTACTTGCAATGTCAGCAAAGTAAGTTAAACATAAATACTGAAAGTATCCAATTTAGGTAAATCTTCGATAATCCCTAATTGCCATTCCCTAACCTGTCATTCTCCTAATTTTCATTCCAACTTTGGTTAGACACAATTATTGTGCACCAGAAAGGTGCACGTTAAACAATTCAAAGTTTTCTAACCCTTGGTCAGAATACAAATCAAGGATTTTATTCAACCCTAGTTTGCAAATACGTAACTCCTGTTGATAAACACTAGAACCGAGAGGCCCAAAGACCAACTTGAGCAATGATGGTGTTCATTGCTGTAGCAACAGATCATTCTGATTTAAGTTTCAACAATAGCCCTATGAGAATCCACCCATATATAGAGTCCCAGATACCATTACACAAGTTGATCTTTGAGCCTCTAGTTTCTAGTGTTCATATATCCACATTTTAGAATCCACTCGAATCAATTTGCAGAGAGATAAGCAGCTGCTGTTCAAGCTCTGTAACTCCAATTGATGGAACCATTGGTGAATGGGTAGGATGAGTGCCAAGCTATAGGTCAGAAGACGACAACAACAACAACAACAACAAAACAGTTCCTAGAATCTGCCTAGACCACCTCACTGCACTTATGGAGTGTTAAATTCCCAATGAGTGACTACCCTTCATGGTGAGGCAAGCGATACTTCCCACTCAGCTCCTGTTAACCCTCCAAACCAAAGCGCTAAGGGTCAGGTGGTCCGAGTTGACAAGTAGTGTGAAACTTGTCAGGCAGGGCAACTTCAATGGCAAGCTGTGTGTTTTTAGCTGGCTAAACCTCAGCAGTACCCCAACGCACACTCTAGGGACCCCGAGCCTGTGCCTAATACTCTCCAAAATTAGGAAAGCTGGGTAGAGAGTGTGCATTCTGATCCAAATAAAAAGAGCCCCATATTAACCCTCACACAGTTAAAAAACTTACAGGGTGAGATACAATACACTGTTTAACATGTTTGAGACCGCTGAACAGCTTTGAAGGTAAAAGGCACGAAGTAGAACTGCTGAGAATCACATCGTCATTCATGAGGCCATCCAACTCTTGAAAAATCTTCCTCTTCAGTTCCAAGTTCTCAGGAACACATTCCTATTTTGAAGAAACATATGAAATATTATTTATTATTGTGATTCCTGTCCGTATTTGATCTGTAAGGGAACTCATTATTTCAGTGTATATTCATCACAATCCAATTCAAGTCAATTTTAAGGGGCTTCACAATGGCTCAGTAGAGACAATCCACATTGTGGCTTGATATGGAACCATAGAAGGTTACAGGGTGAAATTCTAGTTTACGCAGACTTTGCTGACCTTAGTGATGGACAGGAGAGCTATAATTATGTGGCTGGGGAAATTCGGAAGAACTTCTTCTCCCAGAAACTGTCGGAGTATGGAAAGATTTGCCATGGGTAACTGTTAGAACTGAGTCAATTAGGAGCATTTAAAAGAAAATTCAACAAACAATTCTGAGGAAGGGTACTGTATTTAGGGACCACAGGTAAAGGACAGGGAACTGGGTTTAGGATGGGCAGCTTTTTGGAGGCGCAAACACTGATACAAAATGATCTGAATTATGGAGTCAATCATCAGGAAGGAAGTGGAAAATTACCTGTGTATAAAAATAATCTATTAATGTCAGCCAACATGGGTTTAAAAAGTATAGGTCTTGTCTGACAAACCTTAATGACTGTGGGAAGCCATATGATGTGAAATATCTAGACTTCCGAAAGGCATTTGACAAAGTACCACCTGACAGAAACTTGCATAAACTGTGGTCACTGAGTATCAAGGGCAAGACATAAAAAATGTATTCAGAATTGGCCTTCGGGAAAGAAAAAAGGGCTGATTGTTATGGAAGCTGGGTCAAAATGGGGAGAAGTGTTAATCAGGGTGCCTCAGGGGTCTTTCCTGTTCTTTGTATATATTAATGACCTGGATTCGCAGACACAATGTAAGATAATTACATTTGCAGATGACACCATGTTGAATCAGAGGAGGGAGCAAAGTTCTTTCAAAGAGAGCTTGATAGGGTCTGCACATGGGCTGATACCTGAATAAAGTTTAATATGGATAAATATAAGTTCAAGACCTTCCTCTTTGACTGTGCCTACGTCTTCCCACCCCCAACCAACCCCCTTGCTCTCCAACCCTCTTGATTCCAACTCCCGGCTCAGGTGCAAACTCTTCACTATCCAGCTCCTTGCGACATCCTCCTGATGTAACAAACACTATATAAATGCAATTTGTTGCTGTTGTTACAATTATACAGTGCCTTACACATCAGGAGGATGTCTCCATATCTCCAATCAGGTGTTGGATGTATTCCATGGATGGATTAGAACTTGCCAAGGGAGAAGCTGAAACTGATCTAGCCGTGTTATTTGATTCATCATTCACTATATTAAAATAGCGCGAGGCAGTAATAAACAAGGCAGAAAGGACGTCAGTCTACGTGGCCGTAAGCACTGTTGAAAAGGAAGGTTTTCAGGCTGGACTTAAAACAGGGGAGGGGCACAGGCGGAGGATTGAGGGAGAGTGTTCCAGAGATTCGGGGCGTAGTGGCTGAAAACGCAACCTCCAATGGTGAGTAGAGGGTGCGAGGGATGAACAGGAGGCCGGTGCCAGTTGAGCGGAGCGCAGGGTGGTGGATTGGGAAGTACGGAGGTCGGAGAGGTAGGGAGTTTGCAGTGAGTGGAGGGATTTGAACACAAGCGTGAGGATCTTGAAGTCGATCCGTTTGGTGATGGGGAGCCAGTGGAGCCTGACCAGAACTAGTGAGATATGGGTACGGAGTTTGGTCCGGATCAGTATGCAGGCAGCAGAGTTCTGAATGAGTTGGATTTTTTGAATAGTGGAGCTGGGGAGACCGGCGAGAAGTGCGTTTGAGTATTCCAGGTGGGAGGTGACAAACGCACGCACGAGGGTTTTGGCTGCATTTGCGGTAAGATATGGTCGGAGGCGGGCAATGTGGCGTAGGTGGAGGAAGGCGGTCCTGATCAGAGACTGGATGTGGGGAGGGACAGCTGGGGGTCAAACCGGATGCCTAGACTTTCGGACTGGTTCAGTGAGTGTGAGGGAGAGCCCAGGGAGGTTGAGGAGGTCAGATCCGCAGGAGTGCAGACGTTGATGGGAGCCAAGGAGTATAGCTTCCGTCTTGTCCACATTCAGCTGCAGGAAGTTTGCACTCATCCAGGCCCTGATATCTGCCAAATAAGCTGATAGGACATCGGAGGACCTGGAGTTGATGCTGAAGGAGGCAAAGTAGATTTGTGTATTATCTGCATACTTGTTTACCCTGTATCTGCAGATGACATTGCCCAGAGGGAGCATATAGACGAGGAAAAGAAGAGGGCCAAGGATGGAGCCCTGGGGTACCCAAAGGTGATTGGGCGGGGGCAGGAGGAGAAATTATTTGGCGAGATGAAATGGAGGCGGTTGGTTAAGTAGGACTCGAACTATGCAAGTGTGGTCCCACTATATTGGATGAGGAAGAAGCAGTGGAGGAGGTGGTGTGGTCGAATGTGTCGAATGCAGCAGAGAGATGCAGGAGGACGAGGAGGCAGAAGGTGCCCTGGTCAAAGATATCGAGGACGCTATAGACCATTCAGTCCCTCGAGCCTGTTCCCCCATTCTATTAGATCATGGCTGATCTGCATTGGAGTGTCAACTTAGACTATGCTATGTAAATTCAAGTCCCAATGTGGGGCTTGAACCCACAACCTTTTGACTCAGTATTATAGTTTATAAAATGATATATTCTTGGTCAGGCTTTAATAATTTAATATTCTCTTTTCAATTCTACCTTCACTTAAACCTATTTTCTTGGGTCTGAATAGTCTCCAGGGAAGGGCTTTTCCGTAGCTGTTGGTAACTTTTCCCAGTATATCAAAGAATGTTTAAGAGAGAAGGATCTTCCTTGAATAAAAAGTAAGCTAAATATGAACCCATTATTAATTTGTCTCCCACTGCACCCATTTTCTATATTATATACTGGAAGAAGAATTTGTCTAAAATTCTCTTTCCTGTATATTTGAACCACAATTTCCTTTTTTTTTCTCTTGGTGACTGAAATATTCCATTCTGTGGTTCACCAAAAACAATCCAGCCTTTTTCCAATTAGAGTTTGAATACGAAACAGTGGGGGTTGGAGTTTGAACATGTGCCCTAACTCACCACTTTTTTCCCTTTAATTCTTTGCTTCTGACAATGTTATGCATCTACATTAGAGGATTTATTAAATCCATTGTGCACTTATGTCAGCATTGTGGGATTTGGAGTTGAACTACAATGGAGCCCCACAATATCACTATGGTTACAATGTAGAAACACCTTGTTTCTATATTTCCCACACACTCCAAACACCAAGTTTAATGCAGTAATTCACGTAACATACTGAAGTGACCAACCGAGGATGACAACTTGGCAGAAATTACACAAAGATAAGAATTTGAACCTTGAGCACTCGAGAAAGACGAGACAGGTCAAGCTAAACTGGGCTGATTGAGTTGAAAGAAAAGCTCATGAAAAACTGAGTGTTTTGGAGCACTGGAAATCAGTCTCAATAATGAACAAAAGTAAAACTGGTTCAACTACAAAATTTAACAGAGATATCCCAAAGAAGGAAAGAAAGGGAGTAGCAGAGGTGTGATAAGGATCATTGCACATCCAGCAACATAGACTACTAACTATAATCATTAACCCTGGGAGAACTTCACTGTAAAGTGAATCGACTGTATATTTTGTGGGCGAAACACGGCATCCAATTGCGCACAGCAGTATCCCACAAAATCATGCAAGTGATTGAATTTGCCAAGAGGGAAGCTAAAAGAGATTTAGGGGTGTTAGTTGACTCATGGTTCACTATGTCAATCAACAAGACAAACAGGATGCTGGGCTACATTGCTAAATCAGTTGAGTTTACATCCCCAGACGTCATTCTCAGGCTGCACGTTGCTCTGATCAAACCGCACCTTGAATATTGCACACCTTGAATATTGCACACAGTTCCGTTCTGGTCATCTTGACATAAGGCCCTAAAGGCGGTGCAGAGGAGAGTGACAAGGATGATCCTCAAAGCTAGAGGAATGAGCTATGAGCAATGACTAGACAGCTAGGTCTCTTCAGTCTTGCGAGAAGATGACTCAGAGGGGATCTCATAAAGATGTACAAAATTTTAAATGGGACTGAAAAAGTAATCCAGGATCAATAGTTTAGGATGTATCATAACAGTAGAATAAGAGGGCAAAGTGATTTCAGGACAGATACCAGGATATTTTTCTTTACGCAGAGGGGAATCAGTGGACTGTAACAGTTTGTCAGGAAAGGTAGTAAAGGCCAGGACAACATTCATTTAAAAAGCAGCATGATGCAGTGTTTGGCGGGGGGTGGGGGGCAAGTGGGTGTTCTGGATTGTTGAGATCACATATGCCGAAGAGCCTTTTTCATCCAAACCAATCTGGTGATCTTGTGAAACAGGATCCCAGCATATATCCTACATTCACTTCATACCTTAATTTACACTACACTCAATAACAATTGAATGTAGCACAAAATATAAATAAACTGTCTAGATAAATGAGTTTACATTGAAAAATTAACTGCTGAAAAGTTTAAGCCCATTGTTTTCTCTGAGAAAACGTTTTAACTACAGTTAAGTGTCAAGGAAACTTTATTCACTGTTGAAACATAAGGTCACACTTCAGTAAACTAATGCTTAAACACATAACTCAGTGCTAGCAATCACACAGAGCATAACCTAAATCACAACCAATCGCCTGGGAAAGTGAGGCAACAATGCAAAGAGGGAAACATTTGAGTTTTCATTGTTAATCACTAAATGAACTCAATACTGAAATTCTGACGACTCTACTATGTAGATTAACAAGGGAGTACAACAGGTTCCTAAAGGACAAGTGACTAAAGTTACTGCTGCAATAAGCCACACCAACCAAAATGTTTCTTTAAAACTGTGCCTTGGTATGTCCTCCCGACATGAAAGGCGCTATACAAATGTAATCTTGTTGTTGTATCTCATTGCAAGGGAGAGATATTCCACCCACACCCACCCCAATATAAAAATTGGACAGGTAGGACTGTGCCTTGTAGGATGGTAAGGATTTACAGGAATTTCCCATAATAGTTCTGAACCACACCTCTGACCCCAAACTAGCTCATGCAAACCCGCACGATCGCTTCCTATGCGGTACAAAAGATAGAAGCACCGACGACCAAATTGGCTCCATTGGCTCCCTAGTCCCAGTGGATCAAATTCAAAATTCCTTGCACTCACCTTTAAATCCCTTCATGGGCTCTCCCCACCCCACATTTTCGACCTGGCTGCCTTCATACACGCATTCGTCACCTCAAGGCTCGACTACGGAAACTCCCTGCTCGTCGGCCTCCCCAACTCTTCCCTCCACAAGCTGCAGATCATCCAGAACTCTGCAGCTCGGTCCTCTCCCGCACCAGGCTCCGTGACCCCATCACCCCACCCTTGCCAGGCTACCCAGCCCTCAGAGGATAGAATTCAAAATCCTTGTCCTCACTTTCAAGTCTCTCCACCGGTCTCGCCCCCTCCTACCTCTCTGACCTGCTGACCCCCTATCAACCTATCTGTTCCCTCCGCTCAGCAGGCTCGAGCCTGCTCCATGTCTCCCGCCTGACCCATCGGCGGCCGGGCTTTCAGCCTCTCTGCCCACACTCTTTGGAACTCCAACCCACAATCCCTTCGCCTTGCCCCCTTTCTTGCCTCCTTCAAGGCACGACTAACTGTCCTTTCAGCCGCCTTCCTACCCCCCCTGCCCTGCCTCATCCCAAACCTGCCCCCCACACTTCGGTCCTGACCCCTGACTGTTCAGCGCCTTGGGACGTCCTCATGATGTGAAAGACGCTTTACAAATGTAATTTTGTTTTTGCTGTAATTGTATCACCAATTTCCCACAAACAATGTCAAAAAATTAACTTTGCATGACAATTCTTTCCGCTGGCTTTCCAATTTTGAAAAAGAGTTTACAGTTTCTGTGTTTTGTTTACTATATAAAACTTTATCCCATGCTCGAGGCCCAATAAATGTAATCATTCAACCACAATAAGGACACTTTCATGACACCATCCAAAACTAATTAATATTTTTTAAAAAAACCTATGTAGTGTAGAATGTATAGCTCACTAAAAAACTATTTATTCCAGGTCAGGTAGGTGAAAGGTAACACTTGTGAACTATTTGATTCTTTGTTAAATGCCTTCTGTTTATATGAAGCAAATGCAAACACTTGAAGCAGCTTTGAACTTACTTTGCACCAGAAAAAAGCCATTCCTTTCCTGGAACAGGTAATACTCTACCACAATATCTCATAGCAACAAATACAACACGCTCAGCCGTCTAAACCTTTTCAGTGATCTTTCATGCATTTCTTTGGAATTTATTAAAAATAAACAAAAGTGAACACAAATCACTCTATTTTCTCTCCAGTCCCATTTACTCCCAAGCACCTTCAATGGCCAAGAAGGAAGGAGGAAACAGTAGTCTCATGAATGTTCTCTCTCCCCTGCAGGAAGTAACCTCCTTCTTGTAGTCTCTCCATTTCAGTATAGCTGGGATCAGAAAGGCATTGGAATGAGCTCAAGTGAAACAAATAGGTAGAGAAAATCAGGCAATATTCTATGGGTGGCATCCCCTTATTCGTGATACTACATGCTGGTGCTTCAATGTACGACTCCATTCATATATTTCCAAGCTTTTTAAGCAACTAAAATAAAAAGAAATATTTAGGGCAACAGATACCATTGGTGATAAGTAACAATAATAATAAATCACATCATTGTAATTTTCTTTGTTACCAGCCAAATTCAATCCCTCTTTGAATTCCTGGACCCTGTTGTGGGTGCCATCAAGCTCGGTATAACACTCACAATTGAGGCTCATGTGTCAATAAAGGTTACTTCACAAAATCTTCAGTAAGCACATCTAGCCATTTATTATCTTGGTATTAAATGGTTTAAATCACTTGCTCTACTGCTGATTCCACACACTCACCTGATCCACTTGCTTATTACCACACAACACAACCAAAGGTTTAAAGAATGAATGAAAGAAGCACAGTGGGGCCCTTGTTTTCCTGCAAGACCCGAGCTGCAACTGGAGCATCTCAGGCATAGAAATGATAGAGAATAGATCTTTCTGTCCCTGTGCGCATGCACAATTGCAAAAACATATCACAATCCTGGGAAAAATGCAACTCCCAGTGTTCAATGGCACGTTTGCAGAGACATCAGGAAATCTGGCACTGGGCATAGTAAACAAATTAGTTAATAGATTTCTTTAAAAGAGAAAAGAATTTTTAGCTCAAAACGTAATCCATTCATCATTGGGAAAGCAGTTCTAAAGTATGTTACAGCTAAACCTGCAGTGTACAAAGACTGAAATCTATCCACAGACAAAGAATGTTGTCACGCAATCTAAGCCACATCCTTCCAAGAGGTTAATTGCACAATAAAGTGTAGGATTCTCAGACTGTAAATGCTTTCCTTGTTCTCTTTATAGTAAAGACAGGAATTTAAAGGGATGCTCTGGGTTCTCAGACCTATACAGCACATTTAATCTTTTAAAATATCGTTGCTGTCAAATGCCATTATTTCACCTTGAGAGAAAGAGAGGGAGAGGAGGGGGAAATCAAGGTGAACAATTGCTACCTATTATTGACTTCATCTCTTAACAACATATACAGTTTCTGATTGCACTTATTGATGCATATCATTTACAGGGCTTTTGAATATGGAGTTCTGTTGCAAAGTGGTTAGTACGCTCACCTCGGAAGTGAGAGAACTAGTGTTCAATTGCCGGGTGGGGCGAAACCTTAGGCAAATTTCCTTACTCCACACGTCTCTATTTACCAAGCAGTAGGTAGGAACCCAGTTGTTAGTCGATTGGCAGATCGTTTTCCAGGGGATTAATCACTCTAATAAAAATTGGTTACTCAATGCACGACTGTTTGTAGGACACTGCTGTGTGCAATTGGCTGCTGAGTTTTGGCCACAAAACATACAGTCAATCCACTTTACCTTATATTCTTTGAAACGCGTTGAGACGTCTCAGCGACGTGATAAGGCGTTATATCAAATGCAAGAATTATTATTATTATTACAGTCAAAGCCTGATATGGATCCTTTTGTGTGACAGTCACTATTCAATTCAAATTCTTCTGACAAAATTTCAATTTTCGCATTCAAGAGAACAGAAAGGGAAAGGCAGATCATCTATTTGTGTTGGCTTTTTTCTTTGTGGGATTTTTTTTCAAATAAAGAGCAAAAATTCAAACTCAAAACTATTTGATTTAAAAAAAGCCTAACGATAAAGCACTGCATTTATTAGCAAAGACAAATGTTTTCTTGCAGAAATCGTTCGTTGTGTGTGCGTGTGTACAAATAGTATAAAAATCAATAAAACATAACACCAGTCTAACCTGGATGTGAATAGAGCCCTCTATTGCTTTTGCAAGGTCACTGCAGCCACTGATCAACGCCATTTGTTCCTCTGGTTTGGAAGTTCCTCTGAGCATCCCATTTTTCTCAAGTTCATTCAGCTGATGCCTAAATGAAGACCAGAATATGCAGCAACCTTTTAATAAAAGATGACTGTATGAACTCTTTTCTTAAATACCTGTTATCTTAAAAAAAAACACAACAGTAACAATTTGCAGTTACCTATTTCAAATCGAATATGTTAATTGTATTAAATATGTCAAATTGGGAGAAACTCTCAAAATGTTTCACAAAGACAAAGTGGGAGCCCGAGCCGAGAGTGAAATCGGAGGGGGGAGGTGGCCGAAAGCACAGTCAAAGAGGTAGATATTTAAACTAATTTTAAAAGCAGAGGAGAATTCCAGAGGGTGGGGCAAAGTGGCTGAAAGCTCATAGCTGCTATTGATGGGGCGAAGCAGGTGGAAGCAATGAAGCAGACAATGAAATAGAGTTGGTGGTTGAGAGGGAGTAGTCAGGGGCATTTGAAGATAATCTTAATGTCGATCTGCTGGGATAGGGAACCCAGCGGAGATAGTGGGACGAGCAAGATGGGGGAAGTGAAGTAGGCATCACCCACTGAGCAATGGAAGCAAACAGGGTGGCAGAGGGTTAGGAAGTCAGATAGGAAGGGGAAGCGAGACCGTGGAGGGCTTTGAAGGTGAGGACCAGGATCTTGAACTGTATCCTCTGTGTGATGGGAAGCCAGTGGAGTCGGGCAAGAATGGGGGTGATAGGGTTGCGGAGCCTGGTGCGGGAGAGGACACGGGCTACAGAGTTCTCGATGATCTGCAGCTTGTGGAGGGAGCAGTTAGGGAGGCTGACAAGCAGTGGGTTTGCATAGTCAAGCCTCGATGTAATGCAATAATAATCTTCTCCATCTTGATTCCCTCTATGTTGTCCCAGCACATCAAGCTGTAATGGATCCTGCATGAAACAAGGTAAGGATGTCTAATTTCTAGGGGCGTGGAATCAAAGCACATCACTGTTTAAATTCAGCCAATTTAATTGCCAATCTCATTCTCAGAAAGCCATGAGGAAGGCGGATGTGGAGAATGGAATTGTTGACTTGGTGTAATAGAGATACTGGTTTAAGGTATATTTACCAGGAACTTTACTTGACATTTAATCTACCGTAATTTATAATTTGACATGCGAATCCTCAGTTGTAACTCGAGGTGGCAACAGTAATAAAAAAAAGTATTTGTTCCCCAGCAAGGATTCACCAATGATCAGCATAAACAAAAGCACAAAGTAGTTTACCTCTAAAGAACACAAATTAGTTTTTCATGCTGTCTTTTGGCAAAAGAACAAACAAAATATCTTAGTTGTAGCAGATTACACAACATTATCTAGAGGAAGCCTGGGGAAGAGGAGTTGACCGAGAAGCAATCCAGCAAACTACCACCTACAGTTGCCAGAAGTTCCTGAAGGTGAGATACCCATCTTGAAGAGTTTTACAGGAAAGTCACCAAAGCACGGCAGAAGCACTTTGCAGGAAAGTGACCAAAGCAACCAAAAGCACGGAAAAAGGGCACAAGGCCAAGGGATTTTGTAAAGGATTTCCAGAGAAGCATTTGGCTGAAAGTTCAGCTGCTGAATATGAAAAAGACAGGGAGAGGGAGTTGCAGCAGGCCTGAGTTTGTAGAATATAATATAATAATAATCCTTGCATTTGATATAGTGCTTTTCACTTCTAGACGTCCCAAAGCGCTTCACAGAATATACTGTAAAGTGAAGTGAATGGGTTGAGAAGAGGGGAAGTAGGTGGAAGCAGGTGGATGTGGGGCTGGAGATTGCAGAGGTAGGGATGGGCATGGAGAAATTTGAAGGTCAGGACGAGTCTTTTGAAGTTGATCTGCTGGGGAACAGGGAGCCAGTGAAGCCTGGCATGGGTGAGACATCGAGTTTAGTGCAGGAGAGGATACAGGCTGCAGAATTCTGAATAAGCTGGAGATTTGTAGAGGGTGTAGCTAGGGAGACGAGCAAAGAGATTGAGAAATTGAGTGTAGCAGTGACAAAGTGTGAATTCTCGGCTGCATTGGGATGAGAATGGGATGGAAACAAGCAATGCTCCAAAGATAGGTAAAAGTAATCTTGGTCGGAGGCTAGATTTAGGGTATGAAAGTGATCAGAGAGTCAAACAAAATACCCAAATTGTGCACTGGTTTAGTAAGATGGTGTGATCAACCTAGGTGTTAGAGAAAGCTAGACGCAAAGAGACACTGGTGAAAGCCAAGCACAATGACTTCAGTTTGTGGACATTCAGCTGATGAAAGTCAAGCCTCACCCAGGACTTGATGTCTGACAGGCAATCGACAGAAGTGACCATGGAATTGAAGTGGAGCCAGAGGGGTAGAGTTGGGCATTATTGGTATACATGTGGAAGTTGCCCCTGTGTGGATTATGCCACTATAGAGCAGCTTGTAGATGAGGAAAATGAGAGGATCATTGATACAGCAGGCGCCTGTGCAATGGTAAGAAGAGAAATTGATAGCAGAGACTCTGGATCAGGGGCAATGGAACCTGGAAAGAGTGGTCTCACGAAGGTGGATCAGAGTGGAAAAATAGTGGGGGAGTATGGAGTGGTCAATGGTGTCAAAAGTGGCAAAGAGGTCAATGAGGTAAAAACAGGTTTACATTTTTTTATGCAACCAAGTTCTACAGAAGGAAAAAAAAGCACAAGTTACATGTAGTTTAATAACTTTACATGTAATTTTTGTCAACATAAATGCTTGTTCTGTTGCGTAAATTTCAAAAATGATTCGGACATACAACCTGTATGGGAGGGAGGACATAGTCTCTTTAAATCCCTCAGAAATCTGATGAATTACACTTTATATCAGCCATTTTATTTGAAAGCAAAAGCCAGAGGGACCACCATGTCAAAGTAACTATAGATACTGTGTAAACAAACTGTCCATTTAGGGAAAAAGTGCTGTTGTGTTCACTTCAGTTTCCTTTTCCAGAACAAAAACTGCTGACCTGTAGTTCTTTCAACAAAACGCTACAGACGTTTCCTGACTAAGCTAACTTTATCACGAAATAGCAATCGTTTATTTCGGCAATGCTGTGTTCTTTTCTCATTTTAAACTAAAACGCCAAATAATTTTGAAACCTGAAATGTTTTCATTGATGAACATTAGAACAGCCACATTTACTGTTTAATATTTTAGTTCAAAACATTTTGAAATGCAAATTTATTTAAACCAGCAGAATTTTACTGGAATTCAATGCTGCATCAGTTACTATGGCCCACGTAGAGCTAGTGCCAGCCTGTCAAGGAAAGCAGATAAACACTTCCTCTCAAGGAGGAAAATAGACACATCAGTAAAATTTCAGGCAATCTATTAATAGCTTAGCAGAGTCACACTGAAGGAGATCTGAAAACAAGTCACCAGCCTCTCATTCACCTAGTAAATGATACATAGTGAAAAGGAATGGTACATAGTACAAAAGTTGAGCCCAAAACGTAACATGCATCAAACACATTTTATAATTTTCCTCTCTATAGACCTGTTGTCCAACAAACAGCCATGAAATGAATGACCAATTGGCTGAGCTTCCAGTCAGTGTCCATTAAAGTGTTTAGGGAATGCTGCAATGTCAGAAGAAGTGCTGTCCTTTGGATGAGACATTGAACTTTGAGCTCACAATCTGGGCTGATGCTTCAGTGCAGTGGTGGGGGAATTGTCTTTTGGTGGAAGTGTTAATTGGAGCTCATCTGCTTGTTCAATGAACATCAAAGATCCATGGACACTATTCAAAAAGAAAAGGGAGTTTCCCCGTATGTCCTGGTCAATCCTCAGGTTAAAATTGGTCATTCACTTCATGGTTATTTATGCCTATTGCCTACGTTTCATCCACAAAATATACAGTCAATCCACTTTACAATATACTCTGTGAAGCGCTTTGAGATAACTCAACAATGTGATAAGGCACAATATCAAATGCAAGGATTATTTATTATTACCTCTCCCTTCAGGCTGCCAAGACCCTCATAAATCAATTTATCATATTTATAACTACCCCCAACACTCCACTACAGACTATCCAAAACTCTGAAAACTGTGTCCTTTCCTGCACCAGGCTTCGTAAGCCGATCACACCCATCCTCGCTCAGCCCCATTGACTCCCCATCCCGCAGTAGATTGAGTTCAAGATCCTTCAAGAGCACCTTTGAATTCCTCCATGGTCTCCCCGCACCCTACCTGTACAACACTACCAACCCGGTCGCTCCTTCTGCTCAGTAGAATCCTCCATTCTGGGGGATTGTTAGCCAGGACACCAGGAGAAACATCATTCTCATTCAAATCTTTTAGAATATAAAATGTACTTTTCCAACAGCATTGCAAATGTTAGAAAACAAAGCCGAACTCCTACGAAGAGTTTCAGGCATACTGTAAACAGGACGTTTTATTTTTGGGTGGGTTGTGGGTGTAGACCTGGGTTCATTCCTTACTAAGACGTTGAAATGCAAAGTACATTGGATTTTGGGCTTCGTAGGGCAGGTTTCAATTTTTCCATGTTGTTTAATAATCCTTGCATTTGATATAAATAATCACATCGTTGAGATGTCTCAAAGTGCTGCACAGAATGTATTGTAAAGTGGATCGACTGTGGATATCATGGGTGAAACGCAGCAGCCAATTGCACACAGCAGTGTCCCACAAACAGTTGTGGAGTGAGTGATCAAATTTTTTTGGGAAGGATTATTACCCCCAGAAAGTAATCCGCCAATCAACTAACAACCATGTTCCTACCTACTGCTAGGTAAACAGAGGTGTGTGGAGTAAGGAAACCTGCCTACGGTTTTGCTCCCCCCAGGAATCAAACTCAGGTCCTACGAGACGAACGCACTAATCACTTTGCTACAAGTCCAATTGAGTTGTTGATTTCCCTGAATTCAATTGTAATTTTATAAGCGATCCTCCTCCATTCTGAAGTTTGATTGTAGTATTTGTCCAACATCATGATGGTGATTTTAGGGCTTTATTTGTAAAGCTTTTTTTCCCTTAAATGAAAGCTGCAAAGGCAGGAGTTCTAGCTGGATGCACCAGAGGTCCGCCTTA